TCGGAAAGGCCCCGCCGGTTTGACGGCTTGGGAGAAGTTTTAAAAGTGCATTTCTGGAACTGATGTCGGTGCGATTGGGCACCGCTGGTCCCTCGCCCTGGACGGTCTCCCCCTTGGATGACCTCCCCGCCTCGCCTGCTGCAGAGCGGCATGGCTAAAAGGCTGCAAAAATATCGCCTCCGTGGCGCAACGGTAGGTGTGATTGGGCCAAGCTTCCCACGGGGCCCTCGCCCGCTTGCGCCACCCTGGTGCTGCAGACCCGGGCCGGCGTGGGATTCCTCGGAGGCTTTCGTCTGGGTTCCAGCCAGCACCCCCCACCTGACTTTTTGCAGCGTCCCAGTGCGTTCAGGGGCCGGTAAGATGGCGGAGGAGGACCGGCACGAGCAGAAACGCCTTGGTGATTGAAGGATGCGCAGCCGCTCACTGCAACGTGCAAAAGGCCATCGCAAATATCAGACGAAATCCTCGTTTATCTGTTCCGCTGGAAAAAGAGCCGCCAGATAATTCCCAAGCCTGGGGATTCTCATTAAGAGAAGATTGGAAGGATTCTGGAAACGAAAAACGATGACCAAGGAAATGCAAGATATTTTTCTGGTAGCCAGAAGGCAAAGTGAAAAAAACAGCAAACCCTCCCCTGTTGTGGGTTTTTTTCACATGATCCAGCTATTTCCGCTTCAAAGGCACCTGCGGGAGAAGAGGCCAGATTTGAACCTCTCGTGGGGTGCGCGCGCTCTGGCACCATGAGGGCTAGCACCTTGGAGGGGACTTCCCGCGTTCTGCCCGCTTGGCTTGCCCATCGCAGCTCAGAGAGGGCGTCGGCTGGGACGGGCCAGGCCTGGCAAGCCCGGGGTCCCGATGCCCACTGAGATCTGAGCCCCCCTAAAAACGTTCCCCGGCGGCTGGCTGAACATTTCGCGTCTGGCAAGACGCGGAAGCCGCTCGCTGTTTGGCGGTGAGATTCCGGGATAAAAACACTCGGCGAGCTGCAGGGTTTGAGTTGTATTTATAGTGACAGAGTTGCTCCTGACAGATGGTTTGCGAAGTGCTGACGCGGTGGCAGCATCTCGCTCTAACACAGGTCCCCCCCTTTCGCACGGTTCCTGTCTCCGCGTTTGGCAACTGCCCCCGGCCCAAACTTGCTGGAGTTTTAAGACAGAGAACAAAGGCAACGGAGGTATCAGCAGCCCCCCTTCGCCCACCTGCTTCCCCTGAAGAAAAGCCGGGTCCAACCCCACCAGACCCCCGGCCCATCTGCTCTGGGCCCCACTCCGCGGCCGTCCCCCGGGCGCTTTGCGAAGGCTGGGACTGGTTTTGTGCCCTGGTTTCCAACCGCCCCCCCGTCCCCATTTGGCTGGCTTTAAC